ACATAAAATATTATATGAATAACATTTCTTAGGAATATGAAAGTTTTTACTCTGAAAATAAGAGTCTTGGCCCAGAAGTGGTCAGATTTCAATAGAAATATCAGAATTGCTGCTGTTAATGCTGTTTTTCTCTGTGGCCCGAGCAGTTTGCAGTATTGTTTCCCCCTTTCTGTCATTGTTAGCTCTATTGTGATGTTTGTTTGCTGCGGTTTTGAAGAGTAATTTCCTGTTCTCCACACAGACCCTCTCAGTACCAGAGCGTGCTTTCTCTGTGACAGAGCGAACTGCACATGGCAGCGTGAGAGGTCTTACAGTTTGACTTAAAGTACTGCACTTAGTATTTTTAAAATGACTAAATATAATTGTAAACGACCTGTGTGTCACTGACTATTATTATCATAATATTTGAGATTACTTCATCTTATTATTGCAAAAGGTACTGTGGCACAACATATATACACAGGCTTTCAAAATGCAAAATTGGGTAAATCCAATTCAATACCCACTTCCCAATAGAAAAACAGAAGCTAACTAACATTGTCTGAAAACTGAAGAAACAAAACTATTTTAAGAGCAAGGACATTTTAAGCATGTGATGACAATTCTACTATTCTTCCATCCATTAGCAGAAGGCTTCTCATGACCTGTCCCAGAAGCACTGAGCCCAAGGCAGGGTTGCAGCCTGGACAGGATGCTGGTTTGTCACAGTGCTCACACACACAATTAAGATACTGTACACCAGTTCACTTCGCCAGCATGGGATTGGAAGAAAGGGGGAAAATGAAAGACCCAGCAAAAACCCACATGAACGCGAGGTGGAAATTCAAATTCCACGCAGAAGGCACTTCAATCTGGAGTCCAACCCAACACTGTGAAGAGGTACTGTTAACGGCCATGATGCCACACTCCCCGACTGACACTAAATTAAGTCATGTCAGTATTGTTCAGCAATTTTTTTTTATTTGATATTTTGTCTCTACATTTTAGGTTCAATAAAGTCTTTAATCCAGGGAACCGTCTAATCCAGCATGTTTCTATCGCCTCAGGCTCCTAACCACCAGAATCACAAAGGCTGCAGTATCTGACTACAGTCCAGACGGGGGAAATTGCATTCTAACTGGACAGAGCGGTATGTGACACAGGGGCTCTGAGGACCAAGGTCAGGAGTGATTTGGGACATAACGAGATTGTATGAATGAGAGGATTTTGGACTCTGATATGTGTTGAGTGGAGACAATTTAAAATTTCAAACTGAATCTGCCCACTGCCCACTAGAGTGCCGTGGCTCTGTAGCTAATGATCTGTGCCTGTGGCTGGAAGGTTGCCGGTTTGTATCCTGCGGCCGGCAGAGGAATCCTACACTGTTGGGTCCCTGAGCAAAGCCCTTCACCCCAGCTGCTCCAGCGGTGCAGTCAATGACTGACCCTGCACTCTGACCCCCAGCTTCTCTCCCTGTCTGTGTGTCTCATGGAGAGCAAGCTGAGGTATGTGAAAAGACGAATTCCTAATACAAGAAATTGCATATGGCCAATTAAGTGATCTTATCTTATTTCAAGAACAGTAGCCAGACTTGAAACGTCTGTTAGCAGCAATTTCAAATCATATTTCTATAATGGTTTCACTGACGACAGTGAATAGTAACACAAAAACAGTGAACGGCATCACAAATGATAGATTTTAGGTTACAAAAAACGCAACCTGTAGGTATTTAGGTGTTGTCCTCCAAGGATGAATTATTAAACAGAATCAAGAGTAGATTTGGTAGGAAAAGTAATATTGTTTTGTAAGTAAGACTTCACTGAAAGTTGATAAAATATTTGGTTAAAATCCTGTGTTTCAAATTGACATAAATCCCACTGAGACTGTAACCAGACATGGTAAAATCAGTTTTATGTTATAGTTAAAACATAAATTTCACTCTTGACCACTAGAGGGTATTAACTCAGTTTTTTATCCAGCTGTGTACATATTCTAGCTCCACAACTTGAGACTGAGAAATAGAAACTGTAGAAAGGCAATATTGAAGTTTGGGAGATAAAGACTATCATCAATGTATGAAAATGAGATATTTAAAAAATAACTTTTGTACCCCTGAAACTGTTCTGCTAATTAGTATCATTACAGTAACCTCAGCCAATCAATGTCGTTCCTGTCACTTGAACCAGAATTGTGTCTGTTCATGCAGGCTGTGTACATTTCTGCTTGCCAAACCTACGGATGGAGGGCTTAAGAGACATGGATAGTTTCCTATAACGCAACACATCACTGTGATCTGACCCCAAGGACAAACACACAAAAATGATTGTGCTCTTTAACTTAGGAAAGGGAATCCAGCTCACGCCCTACAGCTGAAAGAATCAACTTCTGTTACCACTTTGTGGACTTTGCCTGTCCCTGAATGATTGTATCATGCATGCATGATTTCTCATTTTTATTACTTACAATACATTGTGTCCTGGACTTCTTCACATGCCAATTCAGCACTGTGTATTATTGCAGCAGGTCTTTTTTATTAATTTACTGGCAATGCAGCACATTGTATTTTACATTGAGATATTTGTATGTCTGGTTAAAACAATCTGTCCAAATAATAACAATAAAGAAGACAATGTTTTTAGTTTATACAGTATATACAGGTCTACAGTATGTATCTACATCTTTTCTGTTTTTTCATCTTTAAACCACTGCAGCTGAACCATCAAGCCAAGACAGCTGACCTGC